GTTTCCATTAATTTTGGTTTTCTTCTTTCTTCTTGACGAGGAGAGACCTGTTGTTGCATCTAGATGGCAGCTTCCTAGCTTTTAAGGTCCCAGTCGCTGCTCGCCAAAGTAGTAGGTGGAACAATGTTTTGTATAGTATGTTATGCCAATTGAGCTTGATGTCCCCTCAGTCTGCTTTTTTAAAGTTGTACAGCCCTGGAAATACTATAAGGCTATTCTACTCTGTCTGAAAAAAGGGTTGCTATGATTCAGAATTGACCTGATGGGAGTGATCTGTTGGCGGTGGTGGTGTTTCTAATTTTCATTACCAGGGCTCGATTTTATAAATTAAACTCTTTTAAAACAATGTCCCTGGATCTCTCTTGCAGAAGAATAGGCTCAGCATACCCAATGTCAAGTGATTATAGACTGTGCCTTGGGGGATCTAGGTGAAAAGCCCAAGCTGTTCTGATTTTTCCTAATTCTTCTGAGTAAGCACACTGTTAACAGGGGAAAATCCAGGTTTCTAACTTCACCAGGACCCTGGTAGAGATCATACCAAATCCTGTGGTCTCTCCAGAGGCTAAGTTATTAGGAGAATGAAGACACATCCTAAAAAATTCTACAAGTATGTGTGAGCTCACATAGGCATAACTTCCTTGGATATTGTATGTGAGTTTCACTACCCACGATTCAGTGCAAATTGTAAAAAACAGCCAACCCAGTTGAAGCAAGAGACTAAGTCCTCTAACTCAAGATATTTCAATTCTTGAGTCAATGAAGAGTGAAATCTGATGGAGGTATATTGATGGTATTGTTATGCTCAATGTCACAAATATTTATCAAGGGTGACACAAAAAATTTAGTCTAGGAGGCAGGACTTCCCATTGGCTGTTGAGCTCTAACTCTACCCCAGCTTGGCTATTACTGAGGAGCATCCACACTTCCTACCAGACATTGTCACATAGAAAATCCCAACCTGCAATCACCCTGCAATGCAGAGCAGGCAGACAGCTAGCAGATCACTGGCAGAGCACTCCTTCTCTTTTTGCTCAACTGTCTATTCTCAATCTTTTTTTAAAAAGCCTACCAA